AGAGGGCGGAGCTCTGCAAAGGAACGGTTCTCCCCAGTGGAGTGTGTAAACAACGTTCATTTGATCTCATAAAAGCACGGAGCGCGCCTCGCACGGAAATGGCATGAGGTGAAGCTCACAGCGACCGCGCTCAACAGCCTCTCTCACCGGCAGATTTCGCCCGCGCGGCAGACCGCACTTTCATCGCGCGTTCTCGCCGGACGGACGTTCGCCGGCAGGCCGCGAGGGCATCTGCCGGCGCTCGTCTGCCAAAGTGGCGCCAGAGTGGAGAATTGGAGGCTGCATATTCAACTGGCCGAGGCGGTCTACCGTCCGGCGGCGGCGGTCTACCGTTCGGCGGCTGAAAAAGGGGTAGACCAGTCTACCGCGGTCTACCAAGTCTACCGGTAGACTGGGGTCGTAGGTTCATTACGGTCTACCGGTAGACTGCGGTAGACTCGTGGTAGACTCGTCTACCAAATGGTCTACCGTCTACCCGGTCTACCGGTAGACGGTAGACGGGCCACCCCTCAGCGCCGTCATCACCACCGCCCTCGCCGCCGCCCCCGTTCACCCAACTTCCTGGCTTTGGCTACCCTGCTCAAGCTGGCAAGGCGATCGCTGACAACTACAGCAAGGATGGCGTGACCGTCGAGAGCTGCAAGCAAGCATGCCTCGACATGGCGCACACATCTTGTTACGGCATCTCGCATCTTCGATCCTCTTCGATCCACCTGAACAGATGTGCGCTCTGGGTGGCCGATTCGGCCACAACTCGAGGCGACGGTTGGGGATCTTACGCTACTCGCGACGATGACTTCGACGAGAACGGACCACTTTGCAATGTCGAAGAAGTACTTGAAGAGGAATGGGTGTCGTACACGCGCTCCTCGTCGTGCACATAATTCGTCTGTCCTCCCGCTCTTGACTCGGACGGGGACGGGATCGGCGACGTGGTAGAGGGCAATGGCGACCCCGACAGCGACGGCATCCCTAACTACCTCGACCCCGACTCGGACGGCGATAACAGGCCGGACGCTGAAGAGTGGATGGCCGACACAGATAGCGACGGCGCGCCCAACTTTCTCCAACTTCCGACGCCTGCCCCGACCCCGGCCCCGACTCCGAACCCCACCCCTGCGCCGACTCCGAGACCCACCCCGGCCCCTACTCAGCATAAATGCCAAGGGCTCTAGAATCAAGGTAAATGCTGCAACACCGAGAGCGGCACACAATGTGCGAGCTGTGCGAGTGGGAGATCACTAGTCAGCAGCTGCTGGGCGACATCGACCGCGGATTGCGAAAGGTCTTACATGCACATGGGTGACCCAGTGGGTAATAATAACCATGCACCATGCACACCAGGTTGGCCATCTGTTAGCTGCAGCCACGCTTACGCCGATTGCCAGCTGGGGGGGCAAAAGTTTCCTGCGGAACAGAGACAATGCATTGCCAACCGTGAAGCACTGCCAACTCTGTACCCACCGGCACCGCACATCGACACTGCATACGGCTCTATGCTCACACGCTCCGACACGTCTATCATTCCTGCGCAACGCCGTGCATTCGCCCCGCCACCTGGTGCGGAAAAGCGTGAAGCACAACTCAGCTGCGCGTCCAGCCGATCCCTGCCGACGCTGTGCGGCGACACACCGGCACCGCACATCGATACCGCACACGGCTCTATGCTCGCAGGAAAGCCCATGTAATGAGATTTTGGAAATTCTGCGTCTTGCTCCTCTCTCTCTGCGCTGGAGCGCCTGGTATTCTTTCGATGCCACCTCGCGCGGTTGTGCGTTTATCGATCAACACTTAAGATCGTTCGGTGCAGAAACCCCGGCACTGCCCATGTAACGCAATTGTGCTCGATTTTTGGTCGAGAAGTGTCTCCAAGTCTTCTGGACCCATCGATGGCCGTCGCCTCCGCTCGTCGCGGCACCATCGTGCCCGGCCTGGGCGAAGCATCGTCGCGGGCGCCAGCCGCAGTTCGACGGCAAGCCGTGCGAGCCTGCCGAGGAGGAGGACATGTGGCTGTGCCTGGCCGACGGCCGCGCGCGCAGCACCGCCGACCTGAAGCGCCTGGCGACAGCCGCTCGGGTGCGAGCGAAACGAGCAGGAGATGCAGCCGCCGCGAACACGCGCGATCGGCAGGCGCGCGACCAGCGCCGCCGGCAGCGTGAGCAGCACGACCGGCGCGCAGCGCCGGCGGTCGCCAAGACCGTGCGCCCACAACGCGGCCAGTGCGGCTGCCCGGCGCACGCGGTGTGCGGCATGTGCGTCGACCAGGGCAAGCTCGCCGCGGCCGAGCAGGCGGCCATCGACCTGGAGACGCGCTTCCACGCCTCGACGAACGTCGTCATGGACCTGGAGCGGCCCGAGGACGAGACGGCGGCGCTGCTGCAGCGCTGCGTGCACGTCTCCGACGAGACGAAGCGGCGGCTGCTGGGCGAGTGGAGCGACGAGCGCATGGCGCACGCGCTGCCGCTGCACGCATGCGCCTCGTGCGGCGTGCGGGACCCGTCGCTGACGTACACGCGGGTTGACGTGTC